TGCACCCCCTACATGTCAATGAATTACCAATAAACTGGTCTTGTGTTGTTGGTCACATCATTAAAGTAATTGTTCAATTTTCAATTTTTCATCAGACAAATACATCAAATCATTGCAAAATTTATATAGTAATTGCAAACACCAACTAAGTTATCAAAATAACTTACATATCAATGTTATTCAGCCACTCGTTGCCAGGGTGAAATTATGATTCAGGATCCGGTCTGAGATCCAAGCTAATACACTATGAGATCTTATCCAATCCGCTCCGAAAATTCAGATATTTATTAGGAGTTCTTTATCCGGATTAGATAAAAAAATTTGGATCCATCCAACATCTAAAAATTAGCTTTTTAGTTTTTTAATAGAGAAATTCTCTAGGATACCACACTTTTAAATTTGGTTCCAAAAGTACTACTATTTTTCAAATGTTTCACAATTACCACTATTTTTCAAATGTTCCACAAATACCACAAACACAAAATTGATGTTTAAGACTTTATAATTAAAATTTTTGGGTTTGGGTTAACTATTGTAAAATTAGGGTATAGTTTTTAGGAGATATGGTTTGAGTTTAGAGTTTAGGATTTAATTTTGAATGTTGAAAGTTAATTTTAGTTTTGTGGTATTTGTGGAACATTTGAAAAATAGTAGTATTTGTGGAAACAAAACTTCATTTAGTGGTATTTGTGAGAATTGCAATTTTTAATACTTTACTTTCATTTTTAAATTTCGTTTTAGCTTTTCAGAAATAAATTATAATGGATATATTAGTGTGAAAAAATCTAAAACATTAATCTTGATGAAACAAACAAAAGCAACATTCTCTGAAAACTTATTTCACTATATGAACGTGCATAGATTCTATTGTAGGGTGTGTTTACCGGAGAATGCGGAACTCAGTTAAGCCACGGGGTTGCGATTGTCGGGTATGGAGAAACGGAAAACGGAACAAAATATTGGATAGTGAGGAATTCATGGGGAGTGGAATGGGGAGAAGGGGGCTACGTTCGGATAGAGAGAGGAATAACTGAGAATGAAGGACGTTGCGGTATAGCCATGGAGGCTTCTTATCCTACAAAGCTCTCTTCTAATTCCTCTCCAGGAACCACTCATGAGCTTGTAGCTCGTGAAGATGTTAAAGACGAACTCTAGAGATTGTGAGTCATGAAGATGGGACTTCAGTATTCTTGTGGAGATATAATATATTACATTTGGTGATACCGTGATACTAGCTATTTGAGCTATTGTTGTATGTGTTTACATAATATTTTATGGGATTTTCTTTCTTTCTTTGGAACATCATATAGCTTCTTGTTTATATATCTATGGTGTATTCATCTTGGATTGTAAGGAGTTTTATGTCCTTTTTAATGGCCAACATATTTTCTTTGTGATTCTTTTTTTTACAATTACTAGGCCAATATCCGTGTATAAGCGTAGGTTGTCTCATATATATTTGCATTTCAAATCTGAAATTTTAGATGTTAAACATTGATGAAGCCTATCAAATCAATTTTTTTTATAAGAATGCATAACATCTCATGATAGAACCAAGTCTTCAAAACTTTTTTTCTACGTTACGCACGTATACACTTTGAACCTGTCCTGGCTGCTGACATGGTTCAGGAGACGGCATCAATTTACTTGATCCACATTAATATATAGAGTTTGGGTCATGGGTTCATATTTTGGATTTTTTTTTTCTTTTNTTTTGTAAGCCTAATGATGTAATTATGTTTAACCATAGCCACTTACATTGATGGATGATCGGATATTG